AAAGTTCATTGCCCCCAATATTTGACGACATTTGGCAGATTTATGACACTTATTCTTATTATTCTCTCCTTTTTTTTTTTTTTTTTTCCTGATGAAGTGCCTGGTGTCCAAGAGACTGACGAGCGAACGGCCGAGTTGTGGGTAATGTATTTATAATAGTTATTATTATTTGTTTTTACTCCGCGGTTCAGATCCATCACGTCACTTCCGCTCCAGAGCGACCTTTAGATGTTATCCGAATTTAATTAAGATGATCAATTATACATTATCCCAAAATAACTTCCCGGTCCTCAAGTTTTGGAAAAAAAATGCTTTTAAATTATTATTATTATGGGGAAAACGAAGCTAAAGCAAACAAAGCCTTTTTTCTGTGTGTGTGTTTTTTTTTTAATTATTGTTTAATCTTTACGAAGTTAAATTGGATCGATTTGTAGACGTGGGACTTTTCAGATGTCGGTGTGTTTGTTTTCCACGTCTCTGCTGGTTATTGTGCGGCGGAGCTTGCCTTGCTTACGTCACAGAGCTTGCAGCTAGCACCCAGCGGCTAGCTCGGGCCATGCTACGGCCTGGTGCTATTTCGGTGCCACACACCTGAATTGTACCTCTCGCAGGTTAACAGCCTTCTGCAGCACTTGATGGTCATGCAATAATTTGAATCAGCTGTCCTGGACCAGAGGCACATCTAAAGCATGCAGAGAAGCACGGAGAGGTGGGGGGGAGGGGGGGGGGTTCTTCTATGCATCACAAACAAACCTGTAACAAACCTCCAGAAAACTAAAAACAGCTGAAACACTGCGTGCCCTTAAAACACAACTTAAAACCCACCTGTTCAGAGTTGCTTATGGCTAAAAGAGGGTCAAGAGTATGGGTTTTAATGTAATGTTTTAATGCCATGTTTTAAAATGTCATGTTTTTGATGTTTTCTGTGTTTCTGGTGTGCTCTGATTTTTGATGATGATGACTTCATTTAATTCCCTTTTTGCTGTTATTTTCCCATTCAGCGCACCTTGGACTCTCCTCCAGCTTTTCTTAAAATCCTCGGAAGACAACTCTAGCGCCATGCAGAAAACATCAGAAAAGTGAGTGCTGGCTTCTTCTGGCCTCTGTGATGTCGTCGCTCGCTGGCTCGGAATTGCCATAAAGTGTTGACTCTTTCAGGATGATGCCCTTTTTCTTTGTAGACGGAGCTTTTCCCCCGGCTTCTTGGGCTCAACGAAACGCTCCGTCTTCCAGTTACCATCTGCCGCAGGTTTCCAGCTAGGATGTCTGCCACATCGCAGCCAGAGATGTTGCGGACCGAAGACCCCTTATGATGCACAACAACCTTGGATCTAGCGTTCCTTCGCCCGGACGCGGGGCCCCACTCTGGAACCACTCCTGGACGGTTGGGCACGATGGCGAGCGCCTGGTGGCCGGGCTCAGCCCAAAGAGGAGACGTGGGTCCCCCTTCCAACGGGCTCACCACCTGTCGGAGGGGACAAAGGTGTCGGGTTCAGTGTGTAACGGGCGGCAGCCGAGGGAGGGGACCCTGGCGGTCTGATCCTCGGCTGCAGAAGCTGGCTCTTGGGACGTGGGACGTCACCTCTCTGGAGAGGCGTTCCGGGTTTTCACCGCTTCTCTCCAGAAGTTCTTGATTTTCCACTATTGTACACAGTTTGCATGCAAAGTACGTATTCTCCT